TCCACCATTGTCAAAACTGTGGGTTGAAACATGGCCCTCTACCACATATCCCAGATCAGATTAGCTTATTGCCATCTATTTTATCAGTTCAGAGTGGAGGAAATAATAATCTCACCTGGAGTCTAGAGCCCACAGCTTTATGCTCATCATATTGTGAAAGTATTTGTGTAGTTTTACTATGCTGGCTTTGCCATTTCTGCTGCATACCAGCGTATGCATGTGTGTGTATTTGTTTGTGTTTGTGTACGTGTGTGCGTGTGTGTGTGTATATGCTCACTTATGCAGTGCCATTTCGTACCTTGCAGCTATGGTTCTTGTCATTGTATATCACTTTCTTCCTATCTTTTGTGTTTATTTTTCTTTCCCTTCCCCTTTGTTTGCTTTTTTTTTCCTTTTTTCTCTTTTGATTGCCGGTGTTGCTCGCTCTTTTCCCAATGCACCGCCCACCTCTGTGACATCACGGCTGGCTCTGTCCAATCCGATCAGCTGCTGGTGAAAGGGGTGAATGAGACGCTGGTAGCTCAGAGAGTGGTGCCGGCTCTCATCACACTGTCCTCCGACCCTGAAATGTAAGTGGAACCTCAACTGCAACAACAGTAAACCGCGCCGCGTCTCTCTCCCCCTTTCCCTTTGCCACCTGAGAACTACCACACTGGGACAAGTCTGTACCTGCCAGGAGCAAAGTTGTCGCAAAACAGATTCTGATAATACGGTATTGTTGCTCAGCCATTGATATAACTCAGTTATGATTCATTCGATTGTGATTTCAGATTCTCCCATTAATCCCTCGAGATAATTTTTGGCATTATCACAATTATATATAGTAGTTATTTTTTATTTGATTATAATTGCTCCTGTTTAGGTTTAGGCTGGACCATGGGGTGGTTCATCAGCATAACCCCGTTAACACTAACACTGCATGTTGGCATCGTCAGTCTGCATACCAGTGTACGCCACCTCTCGTTGCCTCATCAGTCTGCAGCACAAACCAGTCCTCAGCCAGATTTGTGTGTGCACATTGCCCGCATGCGGCAATACCACAGTCTCAGCATGCTCATCTGTAACCCATCCCCTCCCACTCTTCCTCCTCACCCCACTCCTTTGAAGCAGGGCCCCTCCTCCTGACTGACCTGTCAGGTAGTGGTTGGTTATCCGTCCTTTCTGCTTTAGTTTTTCCTGTCACTCTATTCTTCTTCCTATCTCCATCATCCTTTCTATCTTCATCTCTTCTCCCTTCCTCTCTCTTTTATTCCCTACTTCTGTCTCTCTCCTCCCACCCTCCCTCTCCCTTTCTCATCCTCCTGTGTGGTGGGTTTGCAGTTGGTTCTCCGAGGCATGAGTGAAGCATTAGTAGATCGCCGGGCGGCTCCGGCCCTTATAACTCTGTGCAGTGGGCCTGAATTGTGAGTCAATTGACACAAGAAAAACCTCTTTGTAAACGCTGTCATTTTGTGGGCTGCATCCTTCCAGTGTAATGCAGTGCATTCCTAAGACCCAGTCTCACTGAACTTGAATTTATGGAAAAGAAAAAAAAAAAAACTTGACCATGTAACACCAAACCCATCAGTGCACTGGAATATTCAACGTGGCAGCTTCTTTAGCCACCTCAAAAATTTAGTGGGAGAGGAAGTAAGAGCCTGAAGGCATTTGCCCTTCTTCCTGCGCCCCATCTTCTCTAGACTTTTCATTGCAGTATAAACCACACTTAACTACGTTTTGATCGTAACTGAAAGAATTAAAAGAAAACTCTTTGTAGCTGCCAGTGCACAGTCTACTTTCATGTTAGGTGATGAGAGACGATGAGATTTGTGGTGACACTGTTGGAATGCAGCCCCTTTCATTTCATCATTTTCTGTATTGAAACTGAAAACACATGTTAGTGGGTATCACACACACTTGTCCCCACCTTGTAGATTCAAGATATATTTAAGCATTGTGAGGTTTTTGGCGTTATGTCTATTACATATCTTGCTGGGTCCACGATCAGCAGACTATAGAGACCAAATGCTCAGGGACATAATAAGAGACTGGATTTTACTCCACCAGTTTAACGATATGTATGTTTTGGTTTTTGGTACAGCAGTGGAAGGATTATCTAATATCACCCTAACAGCTCCCCATTGATTATTTTAATATAAATTATTATATATTTTTATTTTAT